GAGAAAGGAAAGAGATGAGATTTGCACCTTTTGGAGGGCATTGGTCTGGTCAGAAGTTGACTCAGCAAGGTGTAAGGGAAGAGTGTTCTGGGCGGGGGGAGTGGAGCAGGGGAGGGCGAGGCAGGGGTGCCCTAGGCTGGGGGCATTGGAACCCAGGATGGGGAAGCTCGAAGCCACATCTCCGAAGTCCAAAGGGAATGGGCGATGGGAGCCGAGGGAGGCTGACAGACAGGGCCACACTGAAGGCAACCTCTCCATTGACTTTCCTCCCTCCCCTGGCTCTGACCCGAGGCCCGAAGGTAGGACCAGAGAGAACCTTGGTTTTGGGTGTTCAGTGGCCTTGGGCTGGCTCATGGAGCTGGACTGGGAGGCAGTCGATGTCCTGTTCCTGCCCCCTCTAGGTGCCACACCCAGCCAGTCCTTTTTTGACCTTTGCTTGAACCTTGCGAAGTACTAGTGACTTCTTTGACTCACTGAACCTTGGGGGTCTTAGGCAGCCCTGAAGTTAGGGTCCCCTCGGAAGGGAGAGCACAAGGACATACCTGGGCTTTTCAAGCGAGGCTGAGTGCCATCTGGAGGCCCTGGGAAGGTTGGGTCAGGGCATCAGGTACTTGGGACGGAAGACTGGTGGGTAGGGTGGAGTCTGGCCTGGGAGGAGGCTCAGGGGACTTTCATCTTTGAGGCATTTTCTGAGCCCAGACAAGTCCCCAGCCTCTGCCTAACTCCAGGGGCTCAGGAGGAGGAAGGAGTAGGCCCAGGGCTGATTCCAAAAGAGAACACCAGGCTACAATGTGCAGTGCACAAGGGGAAAGCCCAAGATTGTGCCCATTGGGCAGAGGTCAGAGCCCATGGCAAGAAAGCCAAGCTCCAGAGGGTGTTGCTGGTAGGAAGGTAGCAGTGATTGAGAGCCCCCAAGGCTGGGCTTTCAGTCTTTGTAGAGAAATCAGAAGATCAGAGAGTGAAGTAACCTAGGGCTTTGTAGCTCACTGCCCAACATGGACTTCCTAAAGGTACCTGGCCTTTGTGGCGGGCTGTCTGCTCAGCCGCCCCCCAGCTCTCTGCAGATATAGGAAAAGACCACCCCTCCCGGCTAACAGGGCCCTTCCAGAAACAAGTCACTGAATCCCTGGGTTGGAAGGAACCTCATTCCCCAGCCCAAAACACACCCAAGTGCTCGTCTAGCCTGTGCTCAGAGATCTTTAGCCCTTTGGTATATTTGCAGAGAGGGGGTGGGGTGGGGAGGGGACCAATCCAGTGGGATACAAGGCAGGTAAGTTAAGGGAAGCCAGACCCACTGGGCAGGGAGAGCTTTTTCAGGCTTGGACTGCCCCTCAGATCATCTCCCTTGCTCTGCCTGTATGCAAGGCAAATGCCTCCCTCCTCCTGCCCGGAAGCCCTGGGTCTAAGGTCCAGTCAGGGCCCTGGTCACTCAAGGCAAGGGGAGACAGGCAGGTCTGGGCAGGCAGGGCAGCCAGGTGGCTATTTCTGGATGGGAGTGATGAGCATCCTGGCATAACAAGGTGACCGGCCTTCCCTGGCCACCCCCAGCCCTCCCGACACCTTTTTGGTGCCAGAAAGAGACAATTTGGAGAGGGGCCTGAGGAGAGCAATTGAGCGGATTAGGGAAATGGAGGTGCTGATTTCTGTGGAAAGATGACATGAGCTAAATATAGCCACTTTGGCTATACCAGCAGATAGGCACCAAGCAACCTCTGCCAAGCTGGGGGAGGGGAAACTAGGGAGAGAAGCAGAAGAATGAGCAGCACCCTAAGGTGGCGAGGTGAGCACATGCAGGACGTGGCAGCTAGCACTCTAAAGCCCTGCTTGGCAGTGTGTCCAAGGAAGGCCATGGCTTGGCTACACTGCCTTCCCTCCGGACAGGGCCTGAGTTGGTATTCAGGTCATTCAACAAGCATTTAGTAAGCGCCTGCTGTGTGCCAGCCGCTGCTGCCTTCCTCGGCTGTCACACGTCCCCTAAGCTGTCTCTTCAGTTTCTGGTTCTTTGAGCCAGTCTCCATTTGGCATGGTTTCCAGGCTGGGTCTGGAGGCAGAGGACCTGGGTGCAAAGCCTGCCTCCCATACTTCCTAGCTGTGGGACCCTCCTCCTCTCTGCACCTCAGTTTCCCCCTTTATACAGTGAGGACTGTAGCTGCCTCAAGTTCCAAAACCTCTGCCAAAAGTGCTGCCACCACTGCTACCGCCGCTGCCGCTGCTCCTCCTGCTCCTCTTCCTCCTCCCACACCTTCCTTCACAGTCTTTCTCATCAGCTTAGCTATCCTCCTTGTTGAGCTCTGGGAATGGCTAAGTTACCACGTGGACTGCTCTGGGTCATTGCCCAGCAGGAAGGGAACCCCCAGTCGAGCCCTCTTCTGCCCACTTCAGTCTAGTACTACGCTGCTGTCTTCTTCCCTTTCCTAGTCATGTGGAGAGGGAGTGGCAGAGTCCTGGGTTCAAATCCTCCCTCTCTCCCTCAACAGCCCGAGCTCCTTTTCAGTGGCTCCTGTAGGGAGTAGGGCTAGGCAGGCTCCCTATGCAGCAGCCACTCAGTGGAATGTTGTTTTTTCAAGGAAGAAGGAAAGAAGGGAGGGAGGGAAGAGAGGGAGAAAGAGAAAGAGAGAAAAGGGAAGGAATGGAGGAAGCCCCAGCCTGGAGGCCACATTGCCTCCTCCCTGGGTGAGGTCCTCTGCTAGGTTCTCAGCTGCCCTGAGCTCGGGACTTCTGGGTGGCTGTCAATTCTGACTCTCAAAGACTGTGGATAGTTGGGGACAGGCTGTGCGAGGGTGTGCGGAGAGCAAAAGGGATCTCATTGGGAGTTTTAGAACCCAGGAAGTCACATCACAGGATGAAAGCTGAAGTCCCCTTCGGGGTCATTGAGTCTGCACATTCTCAAGTTTAGGCATGAAGGGAAAAGGGACTTGCCCTGTGAGTTCAGTCTGCTAGGAAGCAGGGAGCCACCGAAGGCTGAAGAGGCCCGGCTGGGGTGGAAACATCCATGGGCAGGCGGGAGGGTTGGGGCTGCTTGGTGTGTAGCTAGCCTATCCCAGTGGGCTCTGATGCGGCAGACACTCACACAGGCTCTGGGACTGGCCTTGAACCAATGGGTTGGGTTGTAAGGTGCAGGAGAGAGCCACATTGGCATAGCTGTAGCAGAGAAAAGGACATGACCTGCTGCCTTCACTGAAGGGGCCAGGCCACAGAATGTTAGAGACCCTCCAGTCCCTCATCATACAAATGAAGCAACTGAGGCCCAGAGAAGTTAAGTGACTTAAGGTCACACAGGTAGCAGAGGCAGCATTGGAACTTGGGGCCTCTGACTCCAAACCTAGTGTTCTGTCAGCCTGTACCCATTGCTCTCCAGCTTACCTAGGAGGAAAGTGGGGGCACTGTCAGAAGCGAGAGTGTGGGGGCCTCCGGGACACAGTAGTTTGACCACATGTGGCAGGTGAGGGCCAGAACCAGAGGGAGGAGGCTGGTTCAGAGGGCCTCTCAGGCCTCTCAGGGTTTCCTCAAACCAAGGAAACCAAGGATTGGAGCCCAAGACCCTGATAGCATCACTCTGGGTGTCTCTGTCTCTGTCTCTGTCTCTCCCTTTCCTCTGTCTCTGCCTCCTCTCTCTCTCTCTCTCTCTCTCTCTCTCTCTCTCTCTCTCTCTCTCTCTCTCTCTCTTTCTTTCTCTCTCTCTCTCCCCTCTCTTCTCTTTCCCTGTCTCCTTCTCCTCTGTCTCTCTCCTCTCCCCTCCCCATCTCTCTCCTCTCTTCTCTCTTCTCTTCTCTCTCTCCCTCTCTGTCTCTCCTCTCTTCTCCCTCCCCCTCTCCCCTCTGTTTTTCTCCCCACCATGCCAGGCCAGGGAGCCAGCGAGGCCCTCCTCCCCAGGGGGCTGCCTGTGCCCAGTGGGCCCCTTTCTGGGCCTGTGCTGTGCTAGCCCTCGCTCTGCCTCTGCAATCTGTTCCTCCTTTGCATCCCCTTACTATCAACCAATGTGGGTGAATTGCTGTGATCGGGCCAAGTGGAAAATGCTGCCGTTATCAAATCACACTGAAGCAAGAAATGTTTTGTCATTGTTGATGGAGTTTTTCTCGGGTTCTTCCCTGCCTCCCGCCATCAGAAGGGCCGCTCTACCTACCTAGCACACTCTCTGTCTGTCTCTGCTGTTTCTGGCCTTATGTCTCATCCATTGGTGTCTCTCTCATCTCCCTGCACTTGGGGTGACCCCGGGGGTGACTGGCTGAGTTGGGTATGTCTTTGTGGTCTCCAGCCTGGGTTGAGGGTGAGCAGCTGAAAGCATAAGGGACCACTTCGATCCCAGCATGTCCCTGGCTTCCTAGTGGCCACCCTGGGGCTGGCCTTGCTAGAGTTGGGGGAGAAGGGTGTGGCTGCCAGGAAAGGCAGTTTAGCTAATGCCTTCATTTGGAGGGCAAGGGTTCTCCATTGTTCCTTGTACCCCCCGTGCATGCACATACTCCTGCTCACAGTTGGAGATTCACTTGGAGTTCTTAGGGCTCTTTCCACACTCTGGGAAGGGGGCCTTGGCCATGCCCGGCTTTCCAGGCCCATAAGTTCTGAGCTTGTCTGGGACTAGGGAAGGACAAAGGATGCCCTAAGAGGAGACAAGAGGCCTTGTGTCCTCCCTAGAGCACCATCCTATTCCAGAATAGCCTCTTCCCCTTTCCTAGCGGGCCCTAAGGCTTCTAGGGAGTCTGAGAAGCCATTTGAGGGGAGGTCTCTCAGAGCTAGAAGTTGGGTCTAGGGACTTAGAGTTTGGAAGCGAGAAGGCAGTGAAACAGCCAGGCCCAGGGCTAGCCCCAGGATTGAGCACTGTGGGGCCTCTTTACCTGCCTCAAGGTGCCATTATCTTCTGGGACTTTGGGTGAGGCCTCATTCATGCTAGACTTGGTTGGCCATTTCTCTGGGGGAGGCCTCTACACTGACAGCTCCCCCCCCCCATACACACTTCCCTGGCTTGGTGACTCATGTTTGCCTGTCATCTCTGTGTCTTTCAGAAAAGTGTGAAGGAAGGCCTTTTACTGAAACAGACTAGCTCTTTCCAGAGGTGGAAGAGGAGATACGTCAGAATTCGAGGAAAGACACTGTACTATGCCAAAGACTCCAAGGTATGTGCTGGGAGGCTTCCCCTCTTTTCCTTCTCTGGCTCTTTCCCTTTCTCCCTCTCCTCCTTTTGCATTTATCTTGGATCCTACCATCTGATGGCTAGGGACCCAAAAGATTCCATCCTTCCTTCTGTCCTTCTTTCCCTCTCTCTTTCCTCCTTTCCTCCTTTCCTTCCTTCCTCCCTTCCATCCTTCCTTCCTTCCATTCATCCATCCTTCCTTCCTCCTTCTTTCCTTTTTTTCCTTCCTTCCATCCTTCTTTCCTTCCCTTCCTTCCTCCCTTCCATCCTCCTTTCCATCCTTCCTTCCATCCATCCATCCATCCATCCTTCCTTCCTCTCTCCCTTCCTCCCTCTCTTCCTTCCTTCCTCCCTCCCTCCTTTCCTTCCTTCCTCCCTTCCACCCTTCCTTCCTTCCATCCATCCATCCTTCCTCTCTTCCTTCCATCCTCCCATCTTTTCTTCCATCCTTCCTTCCTCCTTTTCTTCCCTTCCTTCCTCCCTTCCATCCTTCCTTCCATCCATCCATCCATCCATCCATCCTTCCTTCCTCTCTCCCTTCCTCCCTCTCTTCCTTCCTTCCTCCCTCCTTTCCTTCCTTCCTCCCATTCTTCCTTCTATCCATCCAGCTTCCTTCCTCCCTTCTTTCCTCCCTCCCTTCCATCCATCTTTCCTTCTTTCTTCCCCCCTTCCTTCCACATCTCTTATGCACCTACTCCATGCCAGACACTGGGGGCTCAGAGACAAAGCCAAGCACCTATACCCTACTGTAGCAGGCACAGAGCCATATGATCTAGGCCTTAGATCTCACTGGCAGAGGAAATTTCCAGTGGGAGAAGTCTCTCCACCACTGTGTGCATTGGCTGCTGTTTTGTGCCCCAGATCTGGGCTGCCTGGATAACAGAGGCTTGACCTCAGGCTGTCCTGTCTCCAAGGCAGGCCTCTCTATTCATTGTTCTAACTTGCCTCTCACAGATAAGAACAGGGCCAAGAAAATTGAGGAAAGGCTAAGAACCCACAATGGGGAGATGGAGCAGGAATGAGGGCAGGCTTTCTGTAGGAGGCAGCACCAAAGCTGAGCCTCGAAGGAAGCCAGGAATTCCAAGACAAAAGAGGTGGGAGGTTCCTGAGTAGGAAGGCCTAGAGATAGAGATGGCAAGGCAGGTTTGGGGAGCAGCTCCCTAGGCAGCCATTATGTAAAGTTAGGTGGAGGACTTCAGACTTCAAGTCCTGTAGGCAATAGGGAGCCATGGGAGGTTGTTTAGCGGTAGAGGGCTACAGTTGACCCTGTGTCTTAGGTTATTGTGGTAGTCAGATGCAGGGGCTTTGGAGAAGGGCATCCATAGACAGTACAAAGAAGGCTGCAAGCCTACCCTGGTGCCTGGCCAGGAGGATATGCAGGAGACAGGCCATCTAACTCACAAAATCGGCCCAGGCTGTCACCCACCCCAAGATGGCCTGCAGTATAAAATCCAGCCAGCCAATTAGTTCTCATCTCCTTTTCTCTGCCAAGCCCCTCTGTCCCACACAGGGTTGATGGCAGACAAAAGACAGGGCTTCAGAGGCTGACAAAAGACAAAGCAGAGAATGAGTGGTGGTCCCTGAAGTCCCCCGCCCTGGTCAGAGGAGAGGAAATCTGACCGGCTGACAGGAGGAGCCATTCTGGACATTTGAAAGCTCTGCTCCTGGGGCTGTGGAAACCCTCCCAAGGTATGCCTGGCAATCTGGCCTCCCCCCTCATGGCCAGATGCTAGCTGGGTGACCCCGGCAAGTCAGTTAACCTCCGTCTGCCTCAATTTCCTCAGCTGTAAAATGAGGATCACAGTAGCCTAGGATTGTTGTGAAGATCAAACGAGATATTTGCAAAGTGCTTTGCAAACCTTAAAATGCTCTAGAAATGCACACTGTTATCAGCTGTTCCTACTCCGGTCACCTCCTAAGGCTATCCATGGCCATTGGGGGTGGCTCCCACCGTCTTTCCTTCTAGCTGGCCCCAAACGCCTCTCTGCAGCATCCCCCAAGAGCTCCTGGCTGTCCCTGCTGGGACTAAACACGTCTTTCCTGTGCCATCTGCAAACAGCTAGTCAGTCTCCCCTTGGCCCAGCCTTGGCCAGGACTGTCCTGTTAGCCTTCCAGCCGAATGAACACACCAAGCTTGCTGTCCATTTGGACCTCCAGATCCTCTAAGTTGACCTCTTTCCTGGCACGTGATTCTCTGCCCTCCAGGATGGGGCTTGACTTCTAGCCTAGGAAGTTTCTTCTTCCTAGATTCATTTATTCAGATCTTATGGAAATATGATTCTGGCATTCAATGCCCCTGTCATCATTATGTCCTCTGATCACTGCCTTCTCAGAACTGGTTATTGAAAGGAAGGGGGAGCTATTCTTTGGAGGGCCTTAAAGCCAGTCTAGTGGGGGATGTGGGGCAGATATGCTACAGGCTGGGGTCCGATTAGCTGTGCCTTTACATGGATTCTGAGCTGTTGCTTTTCACCATACCGTCTAGAAATCCTGGAGATGATGAAAAGGTGAAGGTCAGTACAAAGAGGGGGAGGCTTCCTGGGAGAAGGGGGCATGCAGCCTGCCCAGCAGGCTTTCTCTCAGTAGAGAGGAGAAAAGAGGACATTCCAGGTGTGCATGTGGGGGTGGGGGAGGGAACGCAGTGTGAGCAAAAGCTGAGAGGTGGGAAGGGGAGATGGGTCAGACTAGAGATAACTATGTCAGGAGGCAGGAAGCTGGGCTGCAGGGCTGCTCGGGCGTGGCCAGTGTGCCGAGAACCTTCAAAGGCGGGCACATTCATTGTGCTGAGCAACAGGGGACCATTTACCAGCTTGTGGGCAAGTGGGATATTTGATCAAAGCAGCATTTGAGAAGGATTAACCTGGCTGAGTGTGGAGGCTGGACTGGAGGGAGGGGGGCTGAGGCTGGAGGCAGGGAGACCAATTAGGAGCCTCTCACAATAGGCTGCTGCCCTGGGGATGGACTGAAGGGGACAGATGGGAGAAATTTCACAGGAAGAAGCATTAGGCCTTGGCAAGTGACAGGCTGTAAAAGATGAAGGAGAACGAGTCAGTGCAGTGGCCTCCAAGGAGCTGAACCAGAGAAAGAAGGAAGCAGGACGGGTGGGGGGCACGGGGCAAAGGGGCCTGAGCGAGCTCAGGGGTGGGGCTGCAGGCTTGGCCCATGCTGGTGGCTTCAGCCTGAAATCTTCCCTTTGCCAACCTGGGTACTTCCTGCTCCTGGGCATCAGAGAAGGCTGGGCACTGCCCAGTTTCTAAAGCCTTTGCCTGGCATTCAGCCTGGCATTCAAGGTCCCTCCTAGTATGCACAAACCCTGGGCTCCCAAACCCAGAGTGACTGGCCAGGTCAGGATGCCCCCTGGCCTCTTAGTGGTCTCCAGGCATCTGCCCCCTCTCTTCTTTTTGTCTATTTAAATCTTTTCAACACTTTAAGACCCACCTCTGCCTGCCCAGCCCAGCTCTGCCCAGCCCAGCTCTGCCCAGCTCAGCCCAGGCCAGCTCTACCCAGCTCAGCCCAGCTCTGCCCAGGCCAGCCCAGCTCTGCCCAGCCCAGTCCGACACTACTCAGCCTAGTCCAGCACTGCCTAGCTCAGTCCTGCCCCGTCTATCCTAGTTCTGTCCAGCCCAGTCCAGCACTGCCTAGCCCAGCCCAGCTCTGCCTGGCCCACCTCTACCCAGTCCAGCACTGCCCAGCCCAGTCCAGCACTGCCTAGCCCAGCCCAGTTCTGCCCAGCCCACTCCAGTTCTGCTCAGCCCAGCCCTTCCCAACCTAGTCTAGCCCTGCCTAGCCTAGCCCAGCTATGCCCAGCCCAGCTCTGTCCAGCCCAGTCCAGCACTGCCCAACCCAGCCCAGCTCTGCCCAACCCAGGTCTGCCCAGCCCAGTCCAACTCCGCCTAGCCCAATCCAACTTTGCCCAGCCCACCTCTGCCCAACCCAGCTCTGCCCAGCCCACTCCAGTTCTGCCCAGCCCAGCTAATCCTGGAGTATGATTTGTCTGTAATCACACTAGCTCCTTGGCAAGTGTCAATGCCCCCCTTTGCTATATGAGAAAAGGGCTCCAGAAAGATCCAAAGACCTGAGAGTGAGTGTCTTTGGCAAGGCCTGAGCCCCCTGGGGCTCCTTGGTGTCTCTCCCAAGCCAGGTGCCTCATGCCTTTGATTCCTTTTGGGGGCACCTTATGTTGTCTAACCCATCCCTGCGCAGCAGGGCAGTCAGTGTCCCTGCCTGAGCTGTGGGGCTTCTGGGAGGTCCCAGTGGTGCCATACGTAATAACAGTTGACATTTCTCTAATGCTTTGGGGTTCACCAGCAATTGCCATCTATTATCACCTTTGAGCAGCAAGGTACCACAAGGTCTAGCATTAGCCCCATTTACAGAAGAGGAAACTGAGGCACCAAAGGAAATTGATTTGCCCAGGGCTCCACAGCTAGTGTCTGAGGTGGGATCGGAACCCAGGTCTTCTTGACAAATACACTGCTCCTCCAGCGCAGGGATTACTATCCCATTTTCTGGATGAGGGAACTAAGGCAAGAGAGGTGCCCTGACTACCGAAGACCACACAGCTCCGTAGAAACCAGGTGTCTCTGATGCCAAGCCCAGCCCCTCAGTGCAAGGCTTTATTCCCGCCCGTGGAGAGTTAGTGATACCCCAACTGTGCCTCCTGTACAAGGGCTCAATTCCTGCCCCTTGCACCTTCCTGACTGTTCAAAACTGTGAACCTGCCATCAACGTTGGGCAGCTGAGGGGGCCGGGGGAGTGCTGCTCTGGGGCTGGTGTCCTGTGGGAGCTGCCCCCTGCCTTGTGGGTCACTGAGCGCTCTCTCCCAAATGCCCTCTCACTTGTGAGGTGGTGGGGAAGGTGGTCTTTTCCAGACGGGGTAACAGACTCAGAGAGAAGGTGACTTGTGTGCAGTCACAGAGCTAGCAAGTGAACAAGGCAGGATGAGATGCTGAGACTCCTTCCCTTCATCCTGAAGCAGACCCTATGATGGGCTGAAGGCATCAGGGGTGGGGGGGCAGGGGGCTACAAAAGCCAGTCACGTTTCTGGGACTCCCTTTGGACATATCTGATTGGACAGGGAGGCAGTACGGCCTGGTGGCGGCAAGGCCTGGATTCACGCCTCTCTCGCGGGCCTGCTGCCGGGGGAAGCTAGTGGGGGGACAAGGCCCCCACAGCTCTCAGCAAACATGAACGCAACACCCAAACTCCATCTGCCATTGCCCGAATTCTCCTGAGTGGGAAGGTTGGCACTCCAGAAAAGGCACTTTGGCCATCGAGTCTCCCTTGGGCAGCCCCCCGCGTTTTTCAGAGGACAAAGCTGAGGTCCACAAAAGGGCATTCAGCAGGAAGAGGCAGAGTTGGTCCGAACTCGGGGTCCAGTGACTCTGAGCTGAGAGCTCTTTCCACTCCGAGGAAGAGGGAGGAAAGGCAGGGAGCAGAGGCAGAGAAAGACCTGTCTGCTAGGGAGTGATGAGGGCAGGGGCCCCAGTGCCAGCCTCAGGAGCCCCTTGGGGGCACTTGTGCCCGAGGGGCCAGTGTGGCACTCAACCAAGACTTAAGGAGGTTTGTCAGGAAGGAGTGGTTATTCTCAGAGGGCCATGTCTTTGCTCAGGCCTTTCAGCTCCTTGCCCTTCTAGGTTGCCTCTTCTCCAGAGCTAATCAGGGCAAATGGATTAGGGCTGTTACCGGTGTCCACTGGGTCCTCTGGGCTCCCACCCCATCTCCAGCCTGAATTAGCCTGGGAAGCCCAGCCCGAGGGCTCAGCTGGTTCCTGGCCTAACTTAGCACCCTTTTCCTGGGCACCCACTCCTAAACTTGGTCCTTGCTACCTTAAAGTTCTCTTGACTCCCAGAAAGCTCTGGGCTCCATCTAGCACCAAGACTGGAGTCAAATGTCTTTCATTGCCTGCCTTTGCAGGGCCAGGAGGGCCCTTTAGATATCACCTTGGCCAGCCCCTCATTTGGGCCTGAAGCCCTGACAGGGAAGGGCCTTGCCTGGCTCCTCATGTATAGCCAAAATGGCACCAGGCCTCAAGCTCCTGCCATCATAGGGTGGGCTTACGAGGCTGTTCAGCGTGGAGAGAAGACTTGGCATGGGAAATGGTGGGGAGGGCAGTGAGCTGCTCTCCTTCATAATGGTCTGAAGGCCCTGGCCCTATGCCCAGCTCTGGCTGGGTGTCGAGGTTCGAGCTTTTCCCCTTTCCTTTGGCTCCTGCACTGTTACAGAGGATGCTTGGGTGCTTGGTGCTGGCTAAATGCCATCTCTCTGCAGCCCTTCCTCCCCCTTCCCCTCTCTCCCTTGCATTGCCTTCTTTTCACTGGGAACTCTCACCCTATCTGGAGGAAGACCAAGTCCCTTTATGACTTCCCCACCTGGCCTGCTCCGGGAAGTCAGCCCTGGGCTCGCCTTCACCGGAGGTCTTCGGATCTAAGCTGGGGCCCTGTATATTGGGAATGCTAGGACAGGGAGTCAGGGCCTGGCCTGGACTCAGTGGGCCTCTGGCCTGCCTTCCTACTACTCAGGCCCACACTCCCAGCCAGACATCAGCAGAAAGGGTAGATGAGGCTGACTGGCTCGCCGGTCTTGGTTCAGCGAGACCTTTGAGGAAGCAGGGCTTGCAATGTCGAACATATAGCTCGGGAGCTAGCCACTCGAGTGCAGAGGTCCGGCCTCAAGGGTCTCAGCTGCCCTATCTGCCTGCTGCGGGGGTGGGGAGAGGGGACGCCTGCCTCATTAAATGGAGATGTTCCTTTTCTGCTCTTCCAGTCCCTGATCTTTGACGAGGTCGATCTCACTGATGCCAGTGTGGCTGAGACCAGCACAAAAAACGTCAACAACAGCTTTACGGTAAGCGGGCCCGGTCCCCCGAGGGTAGGGGGGCATTTGCGCCATGTGGTGGGGCTACAGGCTGCCCTTCCACCTAATCCTGGGGGGGGTGTATGTGTGCGTTTATGTGTGCCTGTGTGTGGGTGCGCATATGTGCGTGTGTGTATGCATATGTTTGTGGGTGCCTGCGTGTGGGTACATGTGGGTGTGCATGTGTGTGTATGTGTGCGTTTGTGTGTGCCTGCATGTGTGTGCACGTGTGTTTGTGTGTGCCTGCATGTGGGTGCACATGTTGTGTGCCTGCGTGTAGGTGTGTGTAGGTGTGTGTATGTGGGTGTGCATATGTGTGTATGCATGCGTTTGTGTGTGCCTGCATGTGGGTGCGCATATGTGCGTGTGTGTATGCATATGTTTGTGGGTGCCTGCGTGTGGGTACATGTGGGTGTGCATGTGTGTGTATGTGTGCGTTTGTGTGTGCCTGCATGTGGGTGCACATGTTGTGTGCCTGCGTGTAGGTGTGTGTAGGTGTGTGTATGTGGGTGTGCATATGTGTGTATGCATGCGTTTGTGTGTGCCTGCATGTGGGTGCGCATATGTGCACATGTGTGCATGTGTGTGCGTGCACATGAGAGCAGTGACAACAACCTTGCCAATGAGGCCCTTGTGTCCCTGATCCAGATTGCCTCGTGAGCCTGTGGTAGTGTCCATACTTGTGGACTGCCTGGCAAGAAATGAAGCGTGGTGGGGAGGGGTCACGGCATTGGCACGTCCTGCTCCCACATTTGATCTTGGCAGAGAGATGAGAAAGGAAGAGGTTCCGGGGGCAGGGGGGGGGGGATAGTGATTGAAGTAACAACAATGGGCCATAGGAAAATGAGGGCCCTCGGGAGATGGAGCACAGGATTTCAGAGCTGGGGAGGGCCCCAGGACAGAAGGGCCAGAGTGGGGCCTTTGCTTACCTCCTTCCTCCAGTCAGACTGTCCTGGAGTTAAGCTGGTGCCTTGTTGATACGGTCTCGGGAAGCTAAACTGCAGAAATCCCAGCAGGCCCAGCTCGGGCTCACCCCTTCCCTGACAGATACTAGGTCTACCCTGGAGTAGGTGCAAACTGCTGTGCTCACCTCCTGCTCCGAGGTGGAGGAGGAACCAAGGATCTGTCTGACTCCCCTCCATCCCTGCCAGGCTGCGATGCTGGTGGCCATGGTGACTCGGGCCTGTAGACCTTTGGGGTGAGGATATGGGCACAGTAGCTGAGGTGGCAGGCAGGGGAGCACTAAGGTCACGAGCTTCCCATGCTCCCTCCCGTCCCCTTGGAAGCACCCATCTGCCAGGCAGGCCCTCGCCTTGTCCCTAGCAGCGTTAGGTCTGGTGCCCTCCAAGTGTCTCCAAGCCAGCATCAGGGGTCTGTAAATACCTATAGCCCTCAGAGGCAAGACTTGGGAGCAAGCTAAGAATTGGGATTTGAGACAGACGCTGCCACACTCCTTGGGTCCTTGTGAGTGGGTCAAGGCAGAGGCAACGTTCATAGGAGCCTGGCTGCTTCTGGGTTCTCTGGAGGGCCAGCGTCCCCAGCTGCAGCTCCCCCCACCCTACCCTGGCTTCCTGAGTTCCCCACAGAGCTAACACCCATCCATGGCTTCTCATGTAGGTGATCACCCCGTTCCGAAAGCTCATCCTGTGTGCAGAGAACCGGAAGGAGATGGAAGATTGGATGGGTGCCCTGAAAGCCGTCCAGAAGTGGGCAGCTAATGAGGTAAGGGAGCCAGTGGGAAGCCTTGAGAAGCAACAGCTTGCTCTGGGGACCAATCTCTGATTGACGGCACTAACCAGGAAATAATGAGATGGAAACGGGCCATCTGGTCAGGGGGGCGGAGGTGGTTGGGGGCTGGCCATCCCCTGGCCGCTGGGGCAGCCAGGTGGGCACTTAGGGCTATGTGCTTGCTTGTCTGTGCCCCTTGCCAAGGTGGCGGCTTGGCCTGCCTCAGTACCACTCACAAAGATGAAGGGAGTTGCTTCATCAAAGCCCTTGTCAAAGGACAGTCCCGACTGGACTCTAGTTTCCTGTGGAGAGGAGCTGCCTGTGTATAGGTGATAACAGGGTGGTCTACAAGGCGGTAGCAGAGAGGGCTCTCTCCCCTTTCTGGAATCAGTTTGTGCTGCTCGGAAAGCTGGACCTGGAGAATTGGCCGAGAAGTGGGCTCGGCTGTGCTCAGAGGTAGCAGGGTGTGTGACCCTGGAGGTGGAGCCGTGGCCAGGTGCCGTGGTTCAGGGTGAGGGGTCAGAGGGAGCAGAGGCCTGGAGCTGGGAAGGACCACAGAGATCGGCTTGGCCACGAGGCTACTGAAGAGACGCCCAAGCTCAGTTCAGCACTGCCTCCCCTAGATGAGTACAGTTTAGGGAAATGGAGGCAGCCTCTAACAGAACACAGCCACCTGGCTCTGCATCTGCGGATGAGAGGGATGGGGGTTCTGCAGAGCATATTCCTGGCCATACCTGTGATTGTAGCAGCAGTAGCAGCTGACAGTTCCACCTCCCCCACGTCTCTAATACGGGCCCCCTAACCCGGGATCACCGCGGCTCCTCTCCCCGGAAAGTGAGGCTGGCTTTCCAGTTGGCCACATCTGCCCGATCCATCCTCTGCACATTTGCCAGAATAATCCTCCAAGCCTGACCAGGGGAAGTGTCTGGGAGTCTCTGTTGCCCCCAGGATGAAATCCCAACCCCGCTGGTGGGCATGGGAAGCCTCCGGCTGTCTGGCTCCAGCTGACTTTTCCAGGCCAATGACGCCTTATTCCCTTTCATGTTCTGGTCTGACCAGACTGTCCGTGTATGACCTGCCTTTGCCCATTGCGCTCCCCCTCCTCTCCTTGACCCCTTGAGCCCCTCTCACTCCCTTCAGGACTTCGCTCTAGTGGCACTCGGGCAGTGCAGCCTTTCCCAAGCCCCCCTGCTGGTACCTCCAAGGTACTGCTGTTCTTTCCCTCCAAGGAGCATGGGGGCACACACTTGTGTGTCCAGGCTGTGTCCTCCCAGCATAACAGAGAAGCGCCTCAGAGGCAGAGGCTGCTTCCAGCGCCGTGCAGATGCCCCCGGGGCCTGGCACAATCTTGTCTGGATGCTCAGGAGCCCCGGCCCAGGATGTGGGCTTAGGGGGCATTTGGTCTAAGGAGGCTCTGGTCTCCTTTTAAGCCTCCCCCTCTCCCCTTGGATTCTGAGCTTTCTGGTCATCTCAAGGGGGCTTGGTTCGGCCCCAGGCACCCCCTCCCCCTGTAACGTGGCATTCCAAAGCAGAGCCCAAGCCAGGCCTGAGCAAGAGGTGACACCTTGGCAGCCCCGGCCTTCTCGAGAGGATGCTCCTGGGCACTCAGGCTCCCAGAACAGCCGGCCATGCCCATCACATGGTTGGCACTGTGGAGGAGGCTGGGACGAGACTGCTGGATCATTCCCTGAGCGCATGTGGGCAGGGGCCCGTGCTGGGAGGCCCAGATCAGGAGCAGGGCATTTGAGGGCCAAGCGTTGACTCTGCAGCTGGAGACCCACTGACGTGCTCTGGACAAGCATCTTCCCCCTCTCTGGGCCTGAATCTCTTCATCTGTAAGATGGGCGGCCTCCGGTGCGATTTATGGCTTTTGCCCTTGTGGATTGTAAAGTGCAACAAGGAAGGGAGGGAGCGATCACTTTAGGGTGAGAAGAGGGCTCAGTCAGGGAAGGCTTCATGGTGGAGCGCCGGAGCTGCTTCCAGAAGGACAGATAGGCATTGCAGGCATGAGGTACAGAGTAGACAAAAGTCCAGAGGTGGGAAAGTGCTGGGCAGCTGGGGAACAGCATGGCCACAGCAGAGGGCCCTGGCTGCCCAGTTGTCTGGAGGGGGGGGGGCGCACCTCTGTGGACAGCCTTGAATGGCAACATAGGAGAGGGTGGGGAGTAGGGAAATGGAGGGGGGGGTCCTCCCTGTGGATTTGATGGCACCATGTGGGTACCTGTCCAAGGGAGAGATGCTGATGCCAGGCCTGGAGTTGGGGGTGCCGTGCACTGGGCCTCTGTCCTTGAATCTGGCCTCCGCCACTTAGCAGCTTTGTAACCCTCAGCAAGTTCCTTGACCTCTATCACAGCCTCGATGTTCTCATCTGTAAAAAGGGAGTGATGATGATGATGGTAGTGGTGGGGATGATGTCGATGAGGTTGGTGATGAGGATGATGATGCTAGCCTCACCTCTGTAGGTGACTTGCTATTATTATTATTGTTGTTGGTTCATAGAAAGTTTGTATATCTAAAGCCATATCAGGAGGAGGAGGGTGGCCGAGGCAAGGCCTTGCCTCGTTGTGGGGGGCCCCTCAGCTCAGCTCGGGCTGCAGCCGAGGATCTAGAGGTGGAGGAGAAGACAGGGGAGCCCCTTCTGGCCATGGCGGGACATGGGCCAGGCCAGAGGCCACAGCCTGGATGGAGGAGGAGCAGCCAGGTTTGAGGGAGGGCTGGGGCCTTCCCGGGAACAAGGGATATGGGACAGGAGTGGTGGGGAGAGGTCAACCTTGGAGGCTGGGCCTGGGAACCACCTGCATGTCCGGAGTAGCTGAAACCCTGACAATGTAGGAGACGATCGAGGGAGAGGAGACAAAAGAGAGGCAAGCTTAACACCTTGGTGGGGCGGGGTGGGGGAGTGCCACCTTGGGGACAGGAGGAAGAAGCGGTGTCAGTGCAGGTACCAGAAAGGAGCCTTTAAGAGCCCAGGAGTCCAGGGGGGAGGAGGAGGAGGTATAGACAGCAAGGTAGACAAGGGAAGTGGGCTAGGTGCAGCCCATGCTTCATGCAGGCCAGGAAGGGGAAGCAATGAGGAGAAGGACCCTTGGTGTTGAGCTCATTGGCAACCTTGGCTCAGCCCAGGGGCAGATGCCAAGGGGCCGAGGAGTGAGCAGGTGATGAGGAAGTAGAAGCAGCAGGTGTAGACACCTTGTACTAGACACTTGGCAGTGAAAGAGGAAAGAGAGCTGGGCAACCAGCAGGCTGGTGGGCATGTGTGCCAGGGGAACCTGTGGGCAAATTGAGGGGAGAAGCCCCTGGGAGGGAAAAAGTGGGATGTGGAAAGGGAGCGGCCGTTCATACCAAGGGCCTGAGTCAGCTGGCAGGAAGCAGGGTCAAGGGCACGTGGGCAGTGAGACTAGTCCAGCCACTAGTGAGTCAGAGCATGCTTGGCATCCTTCCCAAGGGGGTCTGACTGGGCCAGAGCCCCACCAACAGACCCCGATTGCTTTGTGGCCCCAGCTTGCATCATGCCCTCACTCTACATGCATACCCATAAGGTGTCTCTCCCCTCCTCTCTCTCTTCTTCCCCTCCTCCCTCCCTCTCTGCCTCTCCCCCTTGCTCCCCCCTCTTCTGTCTCTCTCCCCATCTTTCTCTCCCCCTCCCTTCTCTCTCTCTCCCCCTCCCTCCCCCTTCTCTCCCTCTCTCCCCCCTCCCTCTCTGCCCTCTCTTCCCCCCCCTCTCTCCCCTCCCCCTCATACATTCCTTGGTCTTTTGGCTCACAACATGGTCTCTAATCTCCTGCCATGCATTAACCTTCCTCTTCCACCTTCTCCTCTTCCTTCTCCTCCACCAGCCCACAAGAGGCCCCTGTGGGCCAGCATTCCCCACTGGCAGAAGTAACTGCCCTCCTTGCTCCACCCCCCCCCAGCAGTCACCCTCCCTCTCCTGGATAAAATGAGGGCTCTTCCTGCAAATCATTTCAGATTTTTGTTTCAGCACAAAAGGGCACTTGGGGTTTTTGGAAGCTAAGTGAGAGATGTTGGTGCCGGGCTGGGAAATCTATAGGCAAAAAGCATCAGAGGATTGACGTGTGCACTTCCCTCCATCTCGGCCCATTCCTGTCTCCGTTCCTCTCATCAGTTCGGTGCAGAATGTACCCCCCCCCGCCAGGCCTGAAAAAGAAACCAGTTTGCTCTCTGCCAACAGTCCCAGCATCCCTCTGCGGAGCTGCTCCACTGGCCTGGATCTGTTTGGGAGCAATATTTAGCTGACAGTGAACCGTCTCTGTTGGCATTTCAGCAAACTGAGCTTCAGGCTTGAGTAGTCAAACAGACCCTGTCCTGTGTGCCCCTTAGCACACGGCCGCCCTCTCTGTACTCATTGCCGTGGGCCCTCCACACGGCCAGAGGAGGGCTTCCTCCGGGGCCTGGCCCTCTCCTAGTTCACTCCCAAAGAGGGGGAGACGGAGGCAGGCCCTTCAAAGGCACCAGGCAGTGAGTGTGGGCTTGAGGGCTAGCAGGGAGAGGTTGGAGGCCCAGGCCCAGCCCTGCAAAGGGCCAGAGGCCAATTGGGCAGGCCAGATTTGTGTGTGAAAAGTGAAGCCCAGTGTGAGAGGGACGACTCTGGTGTATTCCCAAGAGGATACCCCAAGGCTCAGAGAGACGAGTAAGAGCTGATTTTGTCTAGTGCCTTAAGGTTTGCAAAGTACCTGATTAGGGAATGGGAAGGGAGAGGGATGGAATGCGCATTTATTAAGCACCTACTATGTGCAAGGCGCTGCTAAGCACCTTACAAAGAGGACTCCATTTGCTCCTTAGTAAAGCATGTTACCTCATGGGAGCCCCACAGCAATCTGGGGCTACAGATGAGGGAAACTGAGGGCAGGTGACCTGTTCAGGAGCACACAGCCCGGGACTTCCTGACTCCATACTACACCCCAGTGGCAGATGAGTGAGAGGCCGAGCTGCTGGCCAGGAAAGGGAAGAAGGGCTTGGGCTGGTCTTTATCACAG